TCTCTCTATCTCTTTCTCTCTGTCTCTATTTCTCTTTCTCTCTTTCTCTATCTCTCTCTCTCTCTCAATCTCTATTTCTCTCTCTCTCTCTTTTCTATCTCTCTCTCTCTCTCAATCTCTATTTCTCTCTCTCTCTCTTTTCTATCTCTCTCTCTCTCTCAATCTCTATTTCTCTCTCTCTCTTCTCTTCCTCTCTCTCTCAATCTCTATTTCTCTCTCTTTCTCTCCCTTCTCTATATCTCCCTCTCTCTCTTTTCTCTCTCTAAGAACGCTCGTTGGCAACCGATATAATTGCGCTGTGGAACAGAATTTCCACCTCTTTAAGTGTAGCCTTAAGCAAAATTATTGGTTTCCGACAATTATAAAAGAAGGGCCGGTAAAACGGGAGATGCCATGCCGTAGTAAAGAGAAGAGGAAGAAGAATATTTTCGAACGTTGCGATCTACCACAACCAGTGTGGATGGGATAGATACCGATAGCTGAAGAAGGAAGCAAGTCCTATTTGCAAACAAAAAAGAAAGAAGCTAAGATGCGTAGTAGCCGGAGCCGATCAGTATCCTGGAGAGCTGTGCACGACGGCGAAGAACTGACGTGGTGCATGTATTAGCTTCTAAGCATAATATGGTCGGATGAAGGCATATTCGATGATTGGAACCTAAGTGCGCTCTCTAGGGAGACTACAGTCTTCGCCAATTATTATGATATGAGCCTCCACGATATCGCATATAAGGTTCTAGCGAGCATATTGTGTGAAAGATTAAAGCCCACCTTCAACGAACTGCTTGGACCTTATCAGTGTAGCTTTAGATGTAATAAATCCACCATGCGCCAAATCTTGGCAAAGACCTCACTTTCTAGCCTGAGTTTGGTATCCGAGAAAAACTTATATGCCTGTGTATACTAACACTAAGTAATATCAAAGGCTCCGCCAGAACTGCGGAGGACCCCTTCAAGCTATTCGGCACCACGTAGTGTTTCAGACATGCTGACTCTTTTTCAAATCAACAATCAACAGACAGTGTCATGTCGTTCGTATGGATGATGTGACATCACCCCAGCTGTGAGAGGAGGAAGACCTACACTTATTGGGGATGATCAAAAATATGTAGGTATATATATATAAATACATATACCGTTAAGTGTGGGTATATTAAGCATTGCCAGCGGCGACTTTAAATATATATATTTACAAATGAAAAGTCAACTGCATTACATTGGAATAACCGCAACCGCAACCTGGTAAGTATCACATACATACTAATATGCACACACACATATATATGTATATACACATCAAAATACGCACGCATAAAGCCAGCAAACAAGTAGCAAAAGTGTTGTTTGCTAAACTCGACTACTAATTATAGCTGTAAAATGCAAGCAGGCCATCAGCAACAACAGCAATACCAACAACTGCAACAATAAGGACAAATTCAAACAAATAATCAATAAAGCAACAAGGCGCCCAAATACTGACATTTATATTGTAGTTTTATTGGCATATATTGTAAGCAAACTAACAACAACAACAGCAATAACGAGAACAAGAACAGCAACGGTAAAGCCAACAATCGTTTGACAGCAGTTACAGTTCTGGGAAACATTTTAATTAACAAACAAAAGGCCAAATGATGAGCAGGGATTTAAATATCTACTTATGTACTCGTATGTATGTACATAACATGCATAAATTTATTAATACATTTATTCACATTCAATAATCAGGTGTGTATTGCACGAAAACTGCCAGTCACACACTGTCAGTCAAACTGTTAGCGCCGCCAGATAGGCTGCCATTCAAAGTCAAAGTTCAACATGATTTTACAATTCAAAAGTCGTTTCCGAGATTTCAATTCTGGTGTAGTGGTGTTTGTAGTGCAGGGCAGTTTTGTGGCTGCTTTGCTAGGCGAGCCATGGAAGCGCATTTTATATTTGCATAATAATCGCTAGATACAGATACTTTCATGTACATAAGCCATTGTAAGTGGAAAAAATTAATTTTTTTATTCTATTTTGTTCAGTTTATTTTAATTTAGCTTTGTTTTATTTTATTCTTTTTCATTTTATTTTATTTTATTTTATTTTACTTTATTTTATTTTATTTTATTTTATTTTATTTTATTTTATTTTATTTTATTTTATTTTATTTTATTTTATTTTATTTTATTTTATTTTATTTTATTTTATTTTATTTTATTTTATTTTATTTTATTTTATTTTATTTTATTTTATTTTATTTTATTTTATTTTATTTTATTTTATTTTATTTTATTTTATTTTATTTTATTTTATTTTATTTTATTTTATTTTATTTTATTTTATTTTATTTTATTTTATTTTATTTTATTTTATTTTATTTTATTTTATTTTATTTTATTTTATTTTATTTTATTTTATTTTATTTTATTTTATTTTATTTTATTTTATTTTATTTTATTTTATTTTATTTTATTTTATTTTATTTTATTTTATTTTATTTTATTTTATTTTATTTTATTTTATTTTATTTTATTTTATTTTATTTTATTTTATTTTATTTTATTTTATTTTATTTTATTTTATTTTATTTTATTTTATTTTATTTTATTTTATTTTATTTTATTTTATTTTATTTTATTTTATTTTATTTTATTTTATTTTATTTTATTTTATTTTATTTTATTTTATTTTATTTTATTTTATTTTATTTTATTTTATTTTATTTTATTTTATTTTATTTTATTTTATTTTATTTTATTTTATTTTATTTTATTTTATTTTATTTTATTTTATTTTATTTTATTTTATTTTATTTTATTTTATTTTATTTTATTTTATTTTATTTTATTTTATTTTATTTTATTTTATTTTATTTTATTTTATTTTATTTTATTTTATTTTATTTTATTTTATTTTATTTTATTTTATTTTATTTTATTTTATTTTATTTTATTTTATTTTATTTTATTTTATTTTATTTTATTTTATTTTATTTTATTTTATTTTATTTTATTTTATTTTATTTTATTTTATTTTATTTTATTTTATTTTATTTTATTTTATTTTATTTTATTTTATTTTATTTTATTTTATTTTATTTTATTTTATTTTATTTTATTTTATTTTATTTTATTTTATTTTATTTTATTTTATTTTATTTTATTTTATTTTATTTTATTTTATTTTATTTTATTTTATTTTATTTTATTTTATTTTATTTTATTTTATTTTATTTTATTTTATTTTATTTTATTTTATTTTATTTTATTTTATTTTATTTTATTTTATTTTATTTTATTTTATTTTATTTTATTTTATTTTATTTTATTTTATTTTATTTTATTTTATTTTATTTTATTTTATTTTATTTTATTTTATTTTATTTTATTTTATTTTATTTTATTTTATTTTATTTTATTTTATTTTATTTTATTTTATTTTATTTTATTTTATTTTATTTTATTTTATTTTATTTTATTTTATTTTATTTTATTTTATTTTATTTTATTTTATTTTATTTTATTTTATTTTATTTTATTTTATTTTATTTTATTTTATTTTATTTTATTTTATTTAACATTGTTCTTATTTATCTCAATTTTTTATTATTTTATTTCAATTTATTTTATTATGATTTCATTTTTTACTACATTTCATTTTAATTATTTTTATTCTAGTCTATTTTTTTGTTTTGTTTAATTTTATTCCATTTAATTTTTTTTTATTTAATTTTACTTAATTTAATACGATTTGATTTTGTAATATAATTTATTTTATTTTAATTTTTATTGTTATTAAATTATGTTTTATTTTATATTTAGTTATATTCTTTTAATTTTTATACTACATTTCCTTTTAATTCTATTTATTCTAATCCATTTATTATTATTTTTTTTTGTTTTTTTTTTTACTTTTATTTTATTTGCCTTCAATATATTTTATTTTGTTGTATTTAATTGCTTTATTAATTTATTTAATTTGATTTGATTTTATAATATAATAATTTATTTTGTTTTAATTTATATGAGTAAATTTTTTTATTCATTCTAATCTATTTTATATTTATTTATTTACCATTATTTTATTACGCTACATTTAATTTTAATTATTTTCTTTTTAATTATTTATTCAATTTATTTATTTATATACTCTATTTATTTTTTATTTAATTTATTTTTTTATTTATTTTATTTCAGTTTATTTTTTTTTTTTTTGTAAAATATGGTTAGTGTATTTGTTCTACTAACATCTTGCCACAAGTCCGACATATGTGCTTAATACCTGCCTGTCCAATTTTTGATTGGCCTCTCACGTTTTCATTCATGCACACATACACCTTAGCCACGACATTGCCCATTTCACGCGGAACACACTGCGTATGAGTGACATATTACACCTTGGAATTTTAAGCACATTTTTCCCTTGTAAGATATATGTATGTGTGTATGTATTATGTATGAATGCCATTCAAATTTGTCGTGTTGACGGCAGGCAAATTTTAAGCGTAATACTGGCAGTTTTCACTATTCATTCAGTTAGAGAATGTGCAAACATAAATTAGATTAAAAGTTAAGGGCGGCTGGTAATGTGTGGAGTTGATAGTTTGGTTGGTATTGGTAATTTTAACACAGACCATTTTTTAAAGGAAGTTTGGTTGTTATGGAATATTTAAGCTGGATTTAATAATGTGCACTCCAAATGGGCTTAAATAATTATTTATATTACCAGTTGAGCTGGAAATATATTTAAAGAAAGTTTCCCTATGGAATTTAGCTACGTAATTTAATTTTTAATTTTTTCGTTTTTTTCTTTCAAACTCATTTAGCTTGTTAAGAAATCTTTCCTTATCTTTAAATAATCTTTTATGCTTTTGTTTTTGTCTCCCGTTAGAAACATTTACTTCCAGCTGACCACTTAATTAATTTTAAGCCTTTAGGCATCGCGAACGTTGTTGGTAGAAGTGAAAAATATAAAAAAAAGATCACTATTTTGTATAAACATAGAGCAGTTGAAATGCTTACCTTATCAGTCAAAGCAATAGGATTAAATTTTTCTTTCACGGCACGGTGCTTACAACAAACAGCTACTTAAAGCAAAGAAATGTGGGTGTAACCAAGTGGGAATACTTTTTCAGCTCGGCTGAGTTCGTGAAAATTGTTTGACCTTTAACACTCACTTTTGCACAAATAACTCGTTTGTAAGCATGAGTTGCCCACTTTTATAATTAGTCAGTTGACTAGCTGGTTGGCGTTATCTGTTTGTGACAGATTTTATTTACTATTATGATACATTTTTTTTCATTTTTGTATTATTTTTCTATCTTTTTCACACAGTTTTGTTTTTGTTTTTCTTAAGATAAAATTATTTTTCTCTGCTTTTTCATCACTTGCTGGTTGACATACGTTCAGCAGGTGCTTTGAGTTTGTTGTTTGTTTGTATTGTATGTATGCTTGCTTATGTAAATTATTTACTTCACTTCTCAGTTGACCTTTTGACATTTACGTTGTTTTTGTTTATTAACTCTCTGAATTTTTTCTTTATTTACTTAGCTTTTTTTTTTTGTTGCGCTGCATTTGCTTGTGGTTTATTTGGTTTTTGTTGCTGTCATTTTACAATGATATATTTTCTAAATACATATTTTTTTAATTTACGGTCAATTTTTTATTTTCAGTAACCTAAAATTTTGCAAATTTCAATTTTTTTTAATATTATATATTGTATAATTTTCAATTTTTACATACGTATTTTTATAATTTTACTATTTATTATATTTTTTTTCTTCAAAATACTAAGCATCAGCTACTTTTATTGCCAGTTTGTTTTATATAAAATTGTGAAAATTATATTTTCTTTAGCGATTTTGCACTCGAATTTGGTAGCTTTTGTTGCGCTGAAATTGAATAATTAAATAAAAATATTAATATTGACTGTAAAATATATATAATATATGTTTACAAATTTTAAGTTTATTTCACAGCTCTTATAATATAAATATATGTATGTATTTTAGGTATATTTTCGGTACAAACTCAACTTGTATGCAAATAATTTTTTTATTTTAAGCGTCGTATATCAAGGAAGTATGCACTAAAGAAATTGATCTTGGCATTTTCGGTACATTGACGGTACATCTACGGTACGTTTTTGATATATTGTCGTTACAATATAAGTTTTACTTTTATTTCAAGCTGTTTGTTGAAAGCAAAAGCACACGGCTTATTAAATTAAGCGCAATTTAAGAAATTTAGGTACATTTACGGTACAATATATATTTTTGTGCAAATATTTTTCGAATTCAATTACTTTATAAAAGGAAAGATTCACTGTTTTATAAGCAATTAAAACTGTTATTAACATTTTCGGTACATTTTTGATATATTTTCGGTATATTTTTAATTCCGGTAAAGTTTTTTTAAGCGGGTTAACAAAACCAATAGCACTTCTTATTGATAAATCAAAATTAATTAATTAATTTTGGGTACATTTCCGGTACAACACTTATTTAATATGTGCAAATATTTTTCTATCTTAAGCCGCGTATCCGAAACAAATATGCAAACTAAACTAATAACTGCATTTTCGGTACATTATTAATTTGTGAGCATAATTTTTTTATTTAAACGCGTTATCGAAATGAAACGAGTTATCGAAACCAAAAATAACTAAAATTAGTATAGAAATATATTCGTTAGGTTTTCGATAAGTTTTCGGTACACACCTATATCTGTACATTTTTTTTTTTAAACGGGATGTCGAAGGCAAAAATTAAAGAAGAGATTAAATATCGCACAAGTTTCCTTTTACCTGAGCAAAATTACCGAAAGGGTACCGAACCAGCGTTTCTATGCATATACTATTCTATTAGCGGAAATGCTGCCAGTGACTTTCTTCGAAACAGTGCAAATAACTATGCAAAATGTGAGCCGAAAAAAGGTAGTAAACAAGGCAGCAGAAAAAATATGTGGAAGAGAAATGCACGAAAACAACTTTTGACTGGCGGAATGTAATGAATTTCTAAGACCCACTGGCTTTATTACATATTATTATTGTGTTGACCTTCGCCCTGTCAGACAAAAACGGATATGTATGTTAACAATCAGTAAAAGCAAAGAAAGAATAGGAGAACAATATATTCAAATAAGAAAAACAAAGAACAAATTTGCAATCAAATTTAAAGGCTTACATGATGACGACAAATTTTATAGTTTTAAATAAAAACATAAATATTTTTTGTTAGTTTTCTTTAAAAGTAGAATAAAACATTGTTAATTTCCGAACGACTTTAAAAGAAATACAAAATATTCTGAGTCAAATAAATGTACTTTGGCATAAGTATGTGAATTTGCTAAAGCTTAACATTTGCGCCTAAATATAGGCAGCATTTTACACTCTCGCTTTCCTTTTATGATTTAATAAGAATTTACTATAACAAGTATTTCTATTCTTTTCTTGCTTCAAATATTCTTGCATTAATAAAATCACTTGTAATTTTTTTTTAAAAACGCTCTTTATTTATTTTTTATTATTTTTTTTTTTTTTTGAAAGTACTTATTTTAAAGAAATTGGAATTTTTCTGAGGCAATGTGTTGTGTAACATGCATGAAGCTTAGCAATAACTTCCATGTAAACATCTAAATGTAGGCAACGTTTTTCTTCTACGTATACAAGACTCTTAAAAAGAAGAAAATAAATAATAGTAATAATAAATCTTAGTTAATTTCATTACTCATGACATTGTTGTTGTTTTTTCTTAAACATATTTAGAAGAAATAAAAATGTCTTGGCAGATAAACAGTTATGTTATTTATTGTCGTATGTATAGAGCAAATCATTTTGAATTTATTGGTTTAAAGGTATGCGTACAGAAGAATTATTAAATAAAAACTGAAATTATTGCCTTTTATGGTTTTGTGCTTATAGCGAAGGATTCTACTCCCTTAGAGCCAAACTATTTAACCTTAATTGGAATAAAATACTCTTCAAATGGTCTAGCCGATTGAAAAAATTTATAAGGTTATTCTACTTTTTTTTAAATTTCTTTAAATATTTTTGGATTTGAAAATTTAATCAAAAAATTTATATTTTATGTTTGTTCAACTTTTGGTAAAAACATTCTAAATATTTTCAAATTTCTACTTCTATTTTTCATGTAATTTTATGTATTTGCTTTATGTTATCAGTTTTTTTTAAATCATTTTCATTGTAATGCTTTAATTTTAATTTTTTAACCGTTCATTTGCTCCTAGTTTTCAGCAAAAAGTTGCATAAACTCATGGTCTTTCCTTAAATAGGTGTGTGACTTTGCTAAAATTCACCTAATTGTAGGCAACGTTTTTTCTAATTCCTGAGAGATGACTTTACAGACGCGCTGTCTTTGATCCAGCCTCAGTATACGTGTAGGCACTTGAACTCTTCTCAACACAATTTCTGGAGGAAAATAATTTCACCCTTTAACGCACAGGCTCGCACAAAAGAGACTACTGAGTGCTCAACCTGGCTGGCAATCACTGATTGCTTTTGTTGTCTAACTTTTGGAGGTTTTTCTTCTTCATCTTCTTCTTCATTTCCATTTCACCTTCGATTTCACTTTATTTTGCTACTTTTTAATTTCCATTTTTCTTTTTTTTTGCTATTTTTTCTCACTCTATTCCCACTTGCTGTTGTTGTTGTTTTCACATAACGGTATGTGATTCATTAGTTCATTCATTCACTTTACCGTTATTTTTCATTTTTGTTTTTTCTTTGTTGCTGTTTTATTTTTCTTTATAATTTTGTTTTCACACTCTTTTTCAAATTTATTTTGCTTTGCCCGCCGGGTTTTTAGTTTCTTATCCGGTATTTACGCAATCACGAAGAGAAGCTGAGCTGAGCTGTGTTGCGCAAAGTAAGTGTAGTGACGAGGCGAATTTAATTTGTGTTTGTGTTGAGCAGCGCAGGGCATTAGAAGAGCTAAGGATAATGACAATGTCAGGTGGTATCGGAATCTCAGGCAACTCATTTGTGACGAAACTTTAGTGGAAAACAATCACATTTGTTTGTGCGAGATGTAAATTTATCCTAGCAACAGCGGAGTTGCCAGAGACAGAGTAACAGTCAGGACGAGGTAAGATTTTGATGGATTGAGGAGCTAACACAGCCTTGGAGACAGAACTAACCTGATTTCTGATTCTGCTTGGTGGTTCGTAACTGCACATCATGGCACCATGAATAGTTAATTTTACAGGGTCAGGCAGGGTCCATTTCTAGATAATATTGCCACCATCGTCCTCTTGAAACTGCCCCAGATTGCCTCAGACCTTAATAGATATTCCAAGGTAGACGATATCCTAGGAAACGGCAAACATATCCAATTGATGTCCATACAGGGATAATAAAAACCCTTTACATTTTCCATAGGAACAGGACCGCACATTGGATAAATCTAATAGAAGATAGAACTACGGTTAGAGCTCTCGCGACTACTCTTTCAAAGAAGGTTGCGTAATTCTTCATCACTACTCGGATCCTTACTGCATTGCTTCGATGACAGAGAACAAGATTATAACCAGAGATGCCTACTATGATGACTGGAGGGTATTTATGAGCGGTTGGATTGAGACTGATCGACTTCCCAGGCTACGAAATATGATTGTTTGTAGTACCAGCTTCCGACATAAGCTAATGGGTCTCCGGAGCGAAGAACTAGAGCTAGACAGACGATATGTCTCCAGTGGTAAAGACATGCACATGCTTCGGGGCCTTTACATCGATTCGGTAGACCAACTTGTTCCAACCAAGCTACACACCCGCTATTGCCTGTAAAAGTACGCTTGTCAGCTGACACAAGGACTGTCTGGCGTTGAAATACTACAAATATAGCAGACAGTACCTAGCGAAACATTTGGCTCTCGACAATGTCTTATGCAGTACCCACCGCCAGTGGAAGCAGATTTGAAGGAAAAGCCTCACTCGGATGGAAACATCCGATGGAGAGAAACTTGGCTGCACTCGGTGTCTGCTCATTGGCTCTGTTTCCGCTATGAGCGATACCTACGACAATACGGGTCAGCTCCGTTGCGTATAGTCGGCTGTCGTCAACAAGAATTACAGGCAGGACGGCTGCATAGCGAGGTTACCGAGAGGTCGCCAATACTTTCATAAGTCCTCCACCTATAAAACAAAGGCTTAGCTTTACATATTTCAGACAAGGAGCTCGAGCTGTCACCAGTACTCTTATAAGTTTTCTTCCGTTAAAACGAAGACTTAGCTTTACCCATTGCAGACGAAGATCTCGAGCTGCTGGAGGGGTAGCACTGACAAAATTAACAGCTGGATATTGGACTACACTTTAATTCTATTTATCTGGACTTGACCTCGACATAGCCAACGTATCTCAATGTAATGAGACTTCGGGCACTTTTGACCACCTCTTTGCATGCCCTTTTAAGACCAACTCATCTAACCCTCTTCCCTTTTGAGCCGCACCCATTGAAATCCCCCGCTTTCTGAACCTCCTCCTGTTAGATGACCCCGAGCATTTAGAATAGTCTCGCTTAAATGAGGTCGGCGTGCCTCCACAGTGAAGAAGAAGTAGTCCATCGATCGTGTCTGAAAGGGGAGACTGAAGGACGTTCAATAAAAGCTTTTTCATACGGAAAATAATTTTGTTGCCGACAAATTGATTTTTTATCAGCAGTAGCTGAGCTGGGACTGTGTCATGTACTGAGGTCCGACTATGTACTTTGCCAAGCACTTAATTACTAATTTCATAGAACTTAAAATAAATTTTTAAGTGCTCTTCGACCACCCAGTTCATAGCCCACTTTGTAAAAAATACCGTCAAAATCAAAGCTCTTATTAAAACCCTACCAAAAAGCTCACCAAACTATCAGACCACTTTTGATCAACTTT